GCTGTGGCAACAGGGTGAGTCTGCTCACCAACACTGTCAACTATTGTTCCTACCCAGCCCAGACATGATGGCAGTGAGCACAATGTTTACTATCATGAAGATGACTGATTATTAAAAAAAAAAAAAAGGAATAATGTTTTCCTTCTTACTTTTGGTTTGTTGTTTTTTTTTTTCTCCTTATACAAGTCTAAGCATGAAGTTGTTAATGAAAGGGGGTTTTGGTTGGTTTTGGTTTTGTTTTACATCATGGCAACACTTTTCTACTAAATATTTTTGTTAAAGCTATGCAGCAACTTCAATTTTTTGAAACATACTTCACCCTTCACTTACTAGCAAACATTCTCGTCTGTAGTGAGATATCAGCTCTTCATCATGCCCTCTGTACGGGCCTTTGGACAAGAGTTCTTTGTTATTCTGGTAAGCATAGATAAGGTAGAGCAAGGCTTCCATGTAGCTGAAGTGAAGTAAAGAAACAAAAACATTAGATGCAACATCCAGGTACCGTCCGTTTCAAGGTAACTACTGTGCTCTTCAAAGGATAGAATCAAACGAGAAGTTACCTAAGTCCACCCTCCCCACCAATCTTTTCATAATAGTTTTTCTACCACAAAATTATGAGGTTAGATCACTTGCATATGAAGTCTGGTCCAAAGCTCACCAAAACCAATGGATATAACCTCCCTCACTTCAAAAATAGCTTTGGATTAGCCTTAAGTACACATGAAAACTTAATTTTTCCTGTGTGCGTTTATGTCACAGTAAGTTTGATCTTCTATATATCTTGATAGCATTCTACACCTTAGCAAGATTTAAAGCTATCACCTTATTTCCAAAAAATAAGCTGTGAATTTTTAGCCTCACTAACTGTAAGTTCTTCCAAACTACTGAAGTCTGAAGTGATGGAAGAAGTCACAACAGCATTTCAAAAGCAGAAGCACTGCTAGACTGTTGATACTCCTGTCTTGAATCTGAATGCAGAAGATAAATACAAGCCTAATTGGTAAAGGACGAGTAACAGAAGACATAAGAACCTAACAGTTCTAACAGTTCTAACAGTTAATAATCCTAGGAGATCCCTTCGCACACAGATTAATCATCCCCCCTCACACTGCTGCATACCATTTCCAGCAAACACCTTAAACTGTTAATTCTCTGACTTACAGAAAGCCAGTTATGACAGCCAGCCACAGCTCAGACAGCTACCCTAAAAACAAGCAGTTAGAAATCTCATTTTTATTATTCAAAATAAAAAAAAAAAAACTAGGAAGAGAAATTTCCTAATGAAGTGGTCAGAGGAACAGTACATTGTGCACTCACTCACTCCTAGTGAGAAAAGGAGGTCACGGTTAAAGTTTAAACTACCAAAGCCAAACCACCAAACTACTAAAAAATCACCAAAAATTATGTGAGCACACACAGAGCACACCTGAAAAACAGATGTCAGAATTTTCAAAAGTAGACAAACCCAAGGCTTACAGTAATGCCTTCCAATGAGACAACATAAAAAGAAGGGAAAAGGCTCCTTGAAACAGCAACAGTTCCTTAAAGCTTTGCCTTCTAATGTCAGAGTTTAGAAGAACAAAGTGAACCCCAACATCGTAACTTAAGAATCTGATTATTTCAGAATCTAGTTATTTCTTCCACCAGGAGATCTGCTCATAGTCCCTTGCAATCCTAAATATTTATTGCTTAAGTAATATAAGGACTGTCACTGTTCTCCAACTTTCTGTACTTCAAAATAACAAAGCTATGCTTTCATTAAAAGAAGCAGTCCTGCTACTCTCTCCTCAAGTTCATTTCTCCTACTCTTCACACCACCGATCACCAACACAACTGACCACACAGCAGAAAAATTAATGTCGGAAGAAAGGGGAGATGATTGCAAGGAATTGGAATTGATGGTTTTAAAGCCAGAGGAGCAGGACCTTCTCTCCCTTTCCATTCTTAGTTCAGTTATTTGTGAAACTGCAGGCTGAAATTACAGTGTCAACAACTCAGATGATAAAAAATTAAAAACTTGCTGCTGGTAGTGGTCTTATTCCCAGTCCCTCTATTCCTGCTCCTTCCCCGAGTTGTGTGACCTTTCCCTGAAACAACCATAGTGCCATCTAACAGCAAGGTAAGCTATTTTAAATCATCATTACTGTAGATCCAAGCTCAGAGTCCTTATGTATCTGAGAGTCTGAGGAATATGACTACAGTGTAAATTAGCAAACATATTCTGCCTTTTCACACCTGAAATGCATGTAAGCTGCAGCCTAGGAAGTCTATGAAGCCTATGAAGCCTAAAATCACTGAAGCTGCTCACAGAATTATGGAGCTCCCTGGGTCTAGGCTTTGGAAAAGATACAGAAAGCGCAGGATGGCTAAATTTTATCACTGCTTTGAAAAACTGTAAAAGTTTTACCACAACTGAAAAACTGTATCGGCTTTCCAAGAAACTTAAAAGGCAACTGCTAAGGTCTACAGCTTGTTCACTTCTCAGTTACGACCACAAGAGTGAGCTGCAGCTGAAACTCCTGCCGAGGTTCATCAGCTGCCGCGTTCATCTGGCCCATAGAACGTCCCTACTCTACAGCACAGTCAGAGAAGACACACCTGAAAGACCCTTTAATTCTCCACCTGCAGTGAAAAAGGGCCTTGTCAACCACCATAAGGGATCACGAGTGAACACTGAAAGCAGGCATGAAAAAGATACACCAGACAACTTCTTCAATGTTGATTTTGTGTTTGTTCAAAACAGTACAATTATTTAAGGAAATCAGAGACCACCTGGATAAAGGCCAACTTTTGGCTCCACCTGGAGACTGACTGCTGCCAGGTATCAATTAGCACTATTAAAACTAAGAAAAGTTGGTTGACTGAGGGAGATGGGGTTCTGAAAAAAAGCCTCAAAACAGTCCTGCTAATGAAGGTCGTGTTTCAGTTACGAAAGTCTATGTTTTCGTAAATATTTTTAAAGTTACATTTTTATTATTTCAATGTTAATAAGGGAATTGGAAGAGTTCATCAATTTAGTCTTGTTTTCAGAACAAGGATGGTAGCACTGCCCTCTAAAGTGTGCAAGATGTGAACATCAGTCAATATATCAGCCCTTTGGGAACCAGTAGCTGAAACATGGGTGCGTAACTGCAATAGATGCCTTTAGAGCAGGTCAATGGATACTTAGATCCTCACCCGTCCTCTTAACTCTAGTCTTCCTGTCTTTGTATTAAATGCCTCTTGAAGTATTTATGAAATTGCATTTCTGACCAAAGGGAATGAATGTTTCGCTTCTTTAGATGATACATGAGTCTGATAATATCGTATTTTTTATTTCTGACCAATATCAGAGTCTAAGACTGGTCATTATAGGCTTGTTTTCTAAATTATGAAGATGTTTGGTAACAAATGCCTCACCCTAATTCTGTAAATTAATGAAAATAATGGAAAACTATACCAAAAATGCTGTTCCCCTGCACTGTACCTGTACTTCTCTCCCTCAGCGTAATCAGAATATACCATGGTAAGAAGTGGATTAGTGAAAACACTGGTACTGCACAGTTGAAGTTGCCATCCTGGAGTCCCAATGTCAAGGAACTTGCAAGATTCCGTTCCTATCTGCATGTTTAGAGCATGCATGAAGTCCAGGGGTAATAAGGAGGGTTCCTATATACCACACCAACACCCATGACATTTTTGCTTCCTTAAGGGATCAAGCAATACGAGAGTGTTTAATTTTCAAATAAGCCAGGCAATCTTCTGACCAACTTTCATACATAAACTGTTTAAGACTGACAAAGTAGCATATTGCAATTTAATTATTAATAAATGCACTATTTATTACATGCTAGCAACCAGAAGACAAACCAAGACTATGGGCTCATTGTCTTCGTCCCTACACAAAGACATAGCTTGTCACAAAGACAAGGCAGTGTCTTTTCCAATGAGTTTTCCTGTTTTGCTTGGGGCCTTTGTTTTTTGGGACCATACAAAACAAGAAACAGAAATACGAAGCAATTTCCTACACAACATACAGACAAAAAATTAAATTTGATTCCCACTATAATTTCCCCACCTACTGTGTTAAACCTGAAAAATCTGTGATTGACTACAGAATTGTTTTCTCAATCAAAAATTTGTATTATGTGATAGCTCAATTTTCACACCACAGATGTCAGCCACTGGATATTCTGCAGCTAATAATTCCATTCCTTTGGCTGGGTATAGGAAGAACAGGTACTTTTGAACAATTCTGTTTCAAATACTGTTCTGCAGAATCTTTCGAGGTATTTATGCTGTAATCACCATCCTTCTTGCATGTGTAGATCAGAGGCTAAATTTTAGCTGTAGTGCATTAAATACATAAATGTCAGCAATTTTATATAGCTGCAATTCCTGACTCACTTCAAAAAGAGAAGGGAATGAATCACCATCGCCTCATGGAGATAAGAAGAATCAGCTACAAGTATGATAGTTACATATGATAGTTTTCCTCAAATATATTCTTTTTTTCCTGACCTTTAAAGCTCATCACAGGCAGAACTTTGGCTCAAACAAATGCAGAAGGCAAAACTTTGCTTCTGTGGGAAGACCCAATAAAAAGACAGGTAAGACAGGGACTTGACTAATTATGATTGCTGATGAAAGCAGATAAATGTATGTGCACATGTGGTGCCAGAGAGGAAAGACTTTTATGGCTGAGGGATGCCCAGGGCACTTAAAGTAGGAGAGAAGGAGGAATACGGATGCATGTGGAAGGTACTCTGAAAAGAGTCCATGGCTTGGCAAGAGATTGGAAATGGAGATTAAGAATAGGAAGTTGCGGGAAACACTGAGGTAGGTGCAAGACTGGAGACATCAATGGACCGACTAAATACTTAACTAAAATGAAGAACACATTAAATAATTCTTAATTTAAAAAATAGCTTTACTTATCAATATTACATTTTGCCTTCAAATTGCTCTACTACATTTGAGTTCTATACTACCACTTACCTCTTTTTTTGGAAAAACTCCAATCCTACCATGAGAAACATGGTTGTTTCCCTGAAATTTCTATAGTCTTGATGCCATCTCTGCATATGAGAAAGGGTATATAGAATTTCATCCACAAACATAAAATACAATTTATTTAGTTATATTCTTTTTTGCACACACTTTACTTAGTGCTGAATATTTACAGTAAGTGCTAAGGACCCCTAGTAAGCTTGCATGTGTGAAAAGTTTGCCTGAATCCTCGATAAAAAGAAAATTCTTAAATATCTAAAATATTTCTAGAGGAGATTATTTTTACAGAATGTATTACCATCTGAAAGGAACACAAAGCATCTTTGGAGAACCATCATCAGAATTATATGAGATCCCCTTTTTCTTCTCAAAAATAGTTGAGAAGCTAATAGTCTTTTTTTCTTCCCTGCACTACACTCAGTTATTTAGCCAGAAGATGTTATAAAGCTTTTCATACGCAAAATATTAAGCTTAGCTTTCAATATAAGAATGACATAGAAAAAGCCTGAACACTTTACATAGGAAGGGACAAAAAAAACCCCCGCATTTCAGACTGTGGAGATGTTTATATTGGAGCAGAACATTTATCTTACTGCATCACCATTTATACAAAGTGACTACTGGTACACTTTACAGGTAAATACGCTGTGAGAAAGGTGCTTTTACTGCAGTGGGTTAGTAGCCAACTTTCAATTGCTCATTAAAGATAAATTAGGAGACAGCATACCATAATGCATAGCGACTTACAGATTCAACACAAACAGCATGAGAAAGGGTCTATGAAATGCCAGCTCACTATACAGGACAAACACTGATATAGTCTTTGGAGAAACCACCAACTGTCTGCCTCAGGAGCTAAAAAAGTGGTACACATCTGCAGGGAAACAGAAGACAGCCCCACTCCCTCACTCTTAAAGCTAAATCCAGAACTGTTTATTCTATCTGTGCAATGCCATTCAGAAAATGGTAAAATATTGAGCCTTGCACAGTCTAAAAAATGCAACAGAAATCCCACTGAGAGTCCTTTCCCCTCCCAGGCTAAGGAGGGCACATGGTAATGTAGTAGCATCTACTGTAGGTCCTGAACCCAGCAATGAGAAATGACAAGCAAATATTTTTCCTTCGGTTTGCTGAGGGATAGATTACTCCCATAGTCCTCCTGAACAAGCTGTATGGACCTAATAGCACAACCATGAGGTATAAGTGGTGCAATGAAATCTGTCTAGGACATAAACATCCACTGTTAAGAGGCCTTAATGAACAGTATTACACAGAGCTGAAATTGATGCTGTAAAATCAGCTACAGACTTAGCTTTAAATGAGATGAATTATTTTGGCAAATATCAGTCACGATTACTTAATGTCCAAGATCTGCTCTTTTTTTCTTTCTAAGTTTTTCTAAATAGCACAGGAGGAAAAATTAAACGCATAAACTGGTTATGTATGGTCTCGGCAAATGAAATAATCTGGTGCTCATAAGAAAATGGGAATGGCTGTAGAGACAGCTGAAGGAAAAGCACAAATGTGTCTGTGCCTGTGACCCAGTTCTCGAGATGCATCAGCTGGACTTAGACCACTTTCACTCCTTCACTGCTAGCTGCTTCTGACTAGAGAAAACCAGTTGGCTTATATGGTGATAAATAACAAAATGCTGTTAGTGACATTGAGACACGTTAAGTAGTAAGGACAGACTCAAACTTGACATTTATTTATGGCTCAAGTAACTGGAATTACAGATATGGAAAAAAATAGCTTTAGATCAACTGATCAGAGCAGCCTTCCTACAAATAAATGGTCTTTCAATAACCAGTTTTAACTTCTCAGTGTAAGACAAGAAGTTTGTGGAGATAAAATTCAGCTTACTGACAACTATTTCCCATCACAATTTAATTTAAAGCATAAAAAATACTGACCTCATATTCCTCCATGTTTACTTCATCTGGCTTTATCATTTCAAGTTTAGCTTGAGCAACCTTCATTATGTTACGGCACCTTACAAAAAGCAACAAGAAATCATGGAATATTACTAGAAATTCACAAAGGATATTATCCATACAAAGACAGAAGCCTCAAGCAGAAGAAGCTACAGCCTTATGCAAAACAGTATGAAAACACTGTGGAAAATGTGCTTTTTAGTATGCATAGTATAATCAGAAGGAGAGGGCATATTTTTGAAGTACAGAGGCCTGTGCTATTTAAGAATTACTTCTTGTTTTATTTTGCTGAATTGCTCAGTCTTTTCGTTTTAATTTAATGTTTGGATTGCCTGAAACTCCCCAATATTTACTTTGCAAAACTAACATTAAACGATTATTCACTACACAGAAATCAGACTAATGTTCTCTACCTTTCAATGTATTTATTTCTTTAAATAAGTAAACACATGGAATTTCGAGTGGAAAAGAGTCATTGTCTTGCTTTCAACTAAGTTACCCATCTAGCTTGTAAGGCTTTGCTGGCTACTGCTGACTTTCAGGGCAGTGAAGAAATGCAAATTATACAGCCTTACACAGTGTTCTGAAAGAAGGGACAGAAATCTATGTGCAAAATTATCAACACCACTGAGAATTTCTCCTTATTTCATACCAATAGAAACCCTACTTCTTGTTTACTCTTTCTAGAGATTTTTATAAAATATACTTGCGAGCTATTAAATAGAAAATAAAGCCAAACACAGGCACTAGCTTTCCCTCTACTACATGCGCTATCTAAATATGAAGGGGCGTTCGTGAGCAGAGGAAATGAGACATGCGGATCTTATTACCTTTCATCGAAGCTAAGATTGTGATCTCCAAACTGTTCCAGCAATGTTCTCTCAATTATCTTCTTTGGTGCCTGGTTTTGGATGAAGTAAACAATTGCATGACGCAAACGGTAATCGCATTCAGGTGGTGGATCTTCCTGGGCTAATTTTAGCAAACGCGTGTACTCCAATTTAATTGCCTAAATAATTTTAAAAATATACATTATTCTTTCTGGCTTTTAACTCTGTAAACATCACAGACACTAACAGGATATTTTATGTCCCATGGCCTTTTGACTTCAAAATAATTTTTTAACAATTCCATAGTCCACTCTTCCAACAAGTCTGAACTACGTTTTAAAAAAACCCACAACAAACCCCATATAAATGGTAAAGTTGTTCCTGTCTCTCCCCAACTGAGACAGCCAAAATCCCAGGTATACCTTTACTTCAAAAGCAGTCCCAGTCCTGTGCTACATCTCCCTGAGACAAGGTTTATCCGATCCCTAGAGAGGCTTCTTTAAGCATTTACAGCCCAAAAGCAGTGTAAGATTTCAGACACTTTACTTAAAGGAAAAGAGCGTCATACATGTCATAACTGTTCCTTAAATTTACAGACACTTTACTTATAGGAATCTTCTAAAATCTCGTAAGATCAAAGAGGTACATGTTCATTAAACTTTCTGTAGAATTTGTTTTATTCATGTATTTGCACTTTAAGCATATGAAAAAAGTTCAATGAACACGTATGATTTTGGAAACACGAAGTGAGAATGAAAAATGCCTTTCAAAGATCACACTGTAGGATTTCTAAAGAAAATAATACTTCAATATGAATAGTATTAGTCTCTTATAGGGCAGGACGGTGTCCTCACTGAATATTTTAGATTGACTTTAGAGGTTATCAGAAGCATTTACTTTTCCAGTTTTGCCAGTGCATTAGATTTTAATGAATATCATTTATTATGTTCATTAGATTTTATTCACTGAAACTATACAGCATGAACAAGAGCAACAACAACAAAAATAATTAGAAAAATGGTGAAAAATGTTAATATGCTCTATAATTTATCTCACAAAATAGGGGGTGATCAGATTGTCTGCTAACACTAAACGCCGACTTGAAACAAAGGACTTAACACAGTAGCTTCACACATTAGCAGAGTCTCAACAGAACATGCGCAGAAAATGAAGCTCCAAAGAAGCAGAAAAATACCCTGTTCAATATTTCAAATTCCTTTACGCAGAAACACCGGGCAGTAGCAGGTAACTTCCTGGTGTTTAACTATCAGAAATTTGGGATCCCATCCTCTACTAAAACACATTTTGTTGCAGGACTAAACAGGTAGGTAGGATACTATTCATACAGGCTTAAACACAGAGCATGTGGAAAACGGTAAAACTTAAGAGAATGTTCTGCATCAATGTTTTTAAACACTTATCATATGCACTATCATTAAAAAGAAGTTTGGGAGAATCGATCATAATTATCAAAAGCCACAGACAGAGCTTCTATCATCTTACATCAGAAGTTCTACCATTAGAAAACCAACATGGATAACTACGCAGTTAAACCCTGTTTACTGGGGTAGGCCAGAAACAAAAAGCAACTGTTATTAGACATTTACTTTTTTAGAGAATTAGTTGGAAGTAGGAAAAATTGCAACACAAAACCTATATTTTATATGCATATTTAAACAAAATAAAATGGTATGCTACAGATTCAAAACTCCTATGTACAACAAAAAATAACACCATTTCTTTAATCAATACGGGAAAAAGGGAGGGTAGGAAAAATATTACAAGTTTTCATTTTTTTCACATTTTTTATAAAGATCTTAAGGCAAACATTCTGCAAGGAACTGTCTATAAAGTTTAAAGAAGGATGATTGGAAGAGGTCATTGATCAAGAAACATCTTAATGGGCTTGTATTAGTCACGTCTCAAGCCTGAGAGATCTAAAAGGGGAGTGAACCATTGGCAGTGACAACGACTCACGTCCAATGTGTTTTACCTGGGTTATGCTAAAGCAAAGACATTGGAGGAAAAAACCCTACAATTTTCTGGAAACACTCATTTTATAAAACAACAAGCACATGAAGAAAGCCAGAGTATAACAGTATTAAAAAATATCATAGAAGCTTTTACAATAAGTTTATGGAGTAACATAGGACTTCATCTGATAAGTTTCAAAACAAGCATTTTGTTACTGAGTAGGACTACTTCATCTGCACACATTCATACTAACATATTCCTCAAAATGAAGCATGTTTCACCTCTTCTAAGTTGTTGTAAACATGATTAAGCAGAAAATGAGTAAGGAAACTTTTCTACCCTCCAGCACATTTAGTGTCAGAACACTTTCTCACTCAAAGACAAATTCTGTCCTCCATGAAGTAAAAACATTTAAGCACTCAAAAGACTCCAACATTTCAACTGAGCATTGCTTTGATAACTCTGAAGCATTAATATGTTTTTTTTTTAACTGCATTTGTTTTAAAATTATCAAAACACACTTCATATTAAAAAATAATTAAGTGTAATTAAATTTTCTAGTAAAGAGTCTGGTTGGATCAAATGAGGATTTTTTCCCAACTTAAAACAAAATAAAAAATATTTATTACTTAATGGAAAGACGTCAATTTGAAAACAACAACAAACCCAACCCCCAAAAATCCCCACAAACCAGCACTGAATCCCAAACAAAACCTATTTTACTAAACAGAGGCTGCGGCAGGTGTCTCTTCATTCCCTGAGGGCAGACCTGGTTAACAGAGCCAGCCCTGTGAACAAGTGTTATGGTCATCCTCAAAGTATCCATTACAAAACCCCATGCAAACAGACAAACCAACCAACCAACCCATGAGATTCCAATTTCCTTCCCAAGGGGTTGGAGAATTTATTGGTGGTGGTGGTGGGTTTTTTGATTGGTTGGTTGCTGTTTGTTTGGTAGGTTTTTTGTTTCTTTTGGTTTTTACAGTTTCTTGTAATGGAACTACACCATTACAATTAATAAGAACATAGACTGCTACTCAATGATAAGCAGGAAATTTCTTCCCCCTCTCCAAATAACATTTGAGAGGATTTTACATCATGTCAAAGTAATTCCCTTTCTAATACCCTGAAAATTCAAAAGGTCATGAGCTAAAAATGCTCAGAAGCTCATGGACTTAAGAAGAGTAACACATTTTTAAATCTGGTATCATTGTGAAGAGTAATAAACACAAAAACCCCAAGATCTAACTCCCGGTAATAAAATACTGCATAAATAAGTAATATTGACATCCATGCAGTTGCACAAAAGGAAATAATTTAGATTTACTAATAATCTTCTAAGGAGCACAAAACAAAAATATCTCTTTGAAATAAGCAACAAATGACTAAACGCTGATGTCCCTGAGTGAAAAAACTGATGTCCCAAACAGTCTAGCAAAGGCATGTTTTTTGTTACTAATGGGAAAAAAAAAATGCATATTCTTATTGATTACACATCTAGGTTTCATGTTACTTGCTACTACTACTAGAAAGCTAAAAAGGTATACAAGCTATTGTAGCAAGGCAGTATACTGCTGAGTCAACAGGGAAATAGCTGTCTATTTTTCAAGCAAGAAATATCTAAATGGAGGACTGATACCACAGAAGATTACATATAAACACTGGAACAGTCTTAATATGCATCAAAGGGTGGAGGAAGAAGGCATATCTAACAAGCAAAGTCAGAGGAGAAAAGGTGAAAATGTTAGTTGTACCTTAAAGAACCCTGCTTCTGGCCCACACCTGTCATAAACATTCCTGGCTTTACCTATAGCCATGATAATACCTTGCATGTTCGGGGTCAGCATGACCTGGCACAAGGGATTTAAGGTAAAAGTTTTGAATAATTAATATTTTAATGATCAAATTCAATATGTTTTTAGTCTCATGCAAGATAAAAAGCAACTTAATGCATGCATACACCAAAATGGCACATTTCAATACAGATCTGGTGTGCATATTCTGCAAATCAGTCATGGCATGTGTATATATTTTTACTGTAACAACATATGATTAAAGGAAGCTTACGACAAAAATTGAAGAACTGTGTCAAATACAATTTAAAAGTTACACAGTCAAAACTTCCCGGGAAAGGAACATGCATCGTTCAGCATTAGTATCCATCAGAAACTTTATACTGAATGAATGCTACTCATGGCCACTAAAGGTTTATAAAAATAAGTGTTTCAAGTAGAAAAATGACTCAATCACACTTTATATACACTATACTAAAACCATAGTAAACTACATTGCCTGTATTTTATGCGTATTTCAACATCAAAATAAGAGACCTATTGCTGTAAACACAATTGGTCCCTGAAGCATTTGCAGACAAATTCTTAAAAATCAAACCCAAGACATTTAACAAACACAAAGCCAAACATAAGACACACATCTCACAGCTATTCACATCAGTTATATACAAACAATTTGATTCATCTAGGTTACTCAGAAAGGCCCTTCCCCTGTTTTCTGTCAGAAAGGAAAAACATTCCCTCTCTCTCTGCCCAAGGTACAGTTGGCACAGCAACAAAAGACGAAGAACTCTAAACTGTCTGGAAGAGTTTCCCACACATAAGAATGACATTTTAAAAAGTGAATGCACTTAAAAAATGGAACAAGGAAATGGGGAAGAAAATTATCATCCTCTAAAAAGACAATTGCATGGAAACAACAGTGGAAAAAAAAGAAGAGAAAAAGGAAAAAAAAACCCAACAACAAAAAAGCAGGTCATTAGGTGAGGCTAAATCCTCATATCTTTAATGGTGGAGACTACACATCTATGAGAAGCCAAACTCAGTGTGACAATGTCAACTAAATCATTTTATCCCCCATCCCATACTCTCAGTTACAACTGATCACAATTACAGGGCAGAATGACCTGGAATATCTATTTGCCTAGGGAGGCAAAAGCTCTCCAAAGCCCACCAAGAACACATGCTCAGACACCAGAGAGTACAGGCTGCACCAACGCTACCCCCAACCATAACAAACATGAAGTCAGCAGTGTCAAGGCAGGACAGTTTGATGACCTGGCAGTGTTCCTTTCTGCTGCTAAAATAGGGCAGCAGAAAATAACATATCTCAGGATAACATGGGCCGCATCTGTTCCTGAAGTAGTGCCAGGTACACACACCACCCTGGCTCTCAATTGGGAAAAAGAATTTTTGGGTTGTTTTGGTGTTTTCTTAAGCTTGGAAGAGTCAGCTCCAACAGCCATATCAGTTTCAGGTTATTTCCATGGATAATTTAATCCTTGAAGTCTGAAAAGCTTAACCTTGGCAAATAAGGGATCAGACTTGAACATTAGCTTTATATTGGACTGACAAGACAGCACAAACATTAAGAACATCACTCACTATCCTGTCACTTCTTAAATAATGTAGTAGTCTGCAGTCTATCACCAGAATTTCAAAGGCTATCTGGCCTAACGCAAACATTCAACTTCCAGAGCAAAGACGACAAATATACCTCCAGTGTAAACGGTACCATGCAAAGCGTGCCCAGTTAAGAGTAGCTAGTGCTTTCCTTTCATATTTCATTACAAATTAAGACACTGTTAAGGTTACAAATCGCTAAGCGTTTAGTTTTGCAGAAATCTGTTAGGTGTCACAATGTGCAAACATGCCAAGAACTCTCATCAGGCAGCACAAGAAAGCACCGAGGAGGAGTGGTGCACACAACTGCAATCAAATGTACCTCATCGTCATAACCCCCCTCCTCTGACTCAATCACAAAAGTCCCTACATCAGGAATCGCCACCTCTACAACTCGCTGGTTAGGAGCTGGTTGAGCTGGGGCATTATCAGAGCTCTGCAGAAGAAAACCGTTATCAGTATGTGTGTGGGGGAAAAAAAATAAATCAGAAAATAGAGAAAATAACAGACGCAAACTGACAGGCTCATCAAGTAAAATTATGTGGACTGCTGAAGTTCTGAAAAAAATTACAAATATCACTTATATGCTCTAATTACTTACAGTTTCTTATTTTTTTTAAAGCAGTACATTTAAAATTAAGCCATAATTATTAAAAAGTTTTCATTTATTCTTTATTCACTAATGACAGCTTTACAGGTTAGTATGCCAGTATCGCAACTCTAACATCCATTAAAAACTAAAGGCAGTTGTTAAAGGAGGAGTCTGTGAACCACCACTTCTTTTCATACATTTCACTAAAAGATTACTAAATATATCTGAAGTATCTGATGAATGAATACAAAGGGATGGCAACAAGCCAAAGGCTAACGTTCCTGATGCACTGGGAAAAAAAAATACAAAAAAGCCTCTAGCAATCAAGATATTTGAAAGAATATTTGAAGGTACATTACATTCAACAGATTTATTTGTTTTAGAAGAGTAATTAGAAAATCAGGGGAAGATTATGCTAGTCACTGAAATTCTTGCTATGTTAAAGTAAGTTTTAAACAACAACAGAGACAAATCTCAGCTTCTATGGTCTATCATTGTATAGCAGTCAGTTTATAACTTGACTCTCATCTCAGCAATCACAGAGTCCCATGCTACTTGTTCTGCAACTATTACAATAGTCTCATTTTTTAACAAAGATTCCAGAAACACACATAGTATCTATTTACAGCCAGCACTGTATAAATACAAAGGAAGACTGTGCAATCAGAGGGCAGAAAAAAGGAAAAAAGGGCAGAAAATGGTCACAAATGATCGTGTGGCAGCTAACCTACAATCCTGTTTGTTACAGGTTCTGATGTCGTCTCTCCTTCTTGTAAAATGGACAAACAAAAAGTTGAGGAGCAGAATATATGATTGCATGTCAGAATGCATAAGGAAGTAGAATAATTAAAAAGCATGCTGGTACACTGAGAAGGAAGCACAATTCTGCCTAAGAAGAACAGAATTCATTCTGTATACCTTAATTTGGGTATACAGAAAGCAACTTTTAAAACATTAACAGCACCTTCAGATTAGCGAGAAACTGGCTTCAGATTCTGACAGCTGAAACACATTTGTTTCTAAATAAAAGAGCCTGCATGGTTTGGAGTATTTTGTTTTTATTTTTAAAGAGCCATCCACCTTGTTGCAGAACAACGCAGTGAAAATATTGGAATAAAACAACCTGCATCTGCTTCATTAAGTCTATCCCCACACAGACCCTCAATCACAGCCTTTTAAGTCCTAAGGCTGATCACCATGCAGAGCATCATCAGCCTAAACTACACCACTTGATCCATGGAATCCCGTCTGTGAGATTCTTCCACATCCCATGGGGATGGGTGCCCACAGACCCTAGAAAGAGGACAGCATCATGCAAGACGTTTTATCATGGGTTTGTTGTTCTCACAGCTACCCCTTCAGCTGGAGGTAACTCATTAACAGGCTCCCTCCCCTAAGCTGTTCTGTGTTCTGAGAACTCCAAGTCATACATGCAGTAGCCTAAAGCATTCCTGGTAGAGCATCTTTCCATCCAGGGTTACATCAGTTTCCCTGTTGGCTTTGACTTCAGTTTAGCAGAGAAAGTGTGCTTCTTCACTCTCCTGACACCACAGGAGAGAGGGATGGAAAAACACGTTCAAGTGTAAGAATCAACAAGCTGTCACATCATTTTCAGAGGATTTCAGAAGACTTTCCTGTTGGCCCCAAAGATATCTGAGGCTGGACTGCTTTTTTTTAATGAGGATTCATACCTGAACTTAGGAAGCATGCTTCAAATGTTGCACAGATCTAAATTGTTGGTATCTCTAGTGGTTACTAGAGGTGCCTAAAGAAGCTATGCTGTACGTTTTGTAAGTTTGATGCTTATGGATACAGTTCCAAGAGAGATGCATGCATTGCTTTAAAGGCACTTGCTTTTGTGTGTGTCCATTCATCACTTATCTATATACTTAGAAGGAAGAAAAAAAAAAAAATATTTGCTGAAAGAAAAAACTGTTAAATATTAGTTGCATCAATAACTCCTGAAGTAATTATTTTCAATTCCTCTTAGTATTTGTTGTATTAAGTGAAAACAGAATCACTCAACACTAATTCATATAATCATTTTAAGTTAAATATGGATCTGATGAATCACAAAAAAATTTTCAGCAAGTTGTGAATTTGGATTAAAGCGACAGAACACTGTTGAAAAAACCCTTATTTTTGAAAGTTACTTTAACTTCCATAAGTCTTTCAAGGGAACTCAATTATAATCTTATATTTCTCAGATAAAAACCTGAATCTTTAAAGCAGCATTTTTCATGCCTTTCACATGGAACATCAATTTTACTTCTCAAAAATCAATGGTATAGTCTAACGTTTTGAAAAGATAGTGGGCACAAAACCACAATTGTCATTTGAACAATATGCTGTACTCTTGACAAGTACTTTAATCACATAGAGGGCATCCATCTTAGCATTTTTCTTCAACTACACCCATTATTGTAGTACACACTATCCGGATGGACTTTAATGTTGGACAGTCCCTAAGGAAACAGCAATTTTCAGTTCAAAGTTTCTACACACACCCTTTTATCAGATATTGGATCATTTTCACTTGCAAAATAAAAGCAAAATAAGTATTTCAAGCTTCAAAATATCCTCACCGTATCCATTATAGCTTCTGGACCTCTATCTTCTTGTTCAGCTAAAGCTTTATTGATTGCTTGTACAGAATCTTCTTTTAAGTGCTTTGAAATATCAGTTCTTGATGGCTGCTCTAAATATTCTGGTTCTCCTGCTTGAACTTAGTGACAGAAATAAGATAACAATTGTGCATGTTAACATAAGGATGAATTTTGAATGGATCAGTTTTATTTGGATCACTGCCTTATAGATAAGGGTAGGTGACACCATTCACAAACACAACTTACTTCACACCAGTCTGTGTCTTGGGTCATTTTGAACACCTTCATATAAATGGACCCATGAGTTTATCCTAGGATCAACAGACCTGTCCTGTCTATAGACCCTTTAAGGCTCTTGAGCGGGAGGTGTTCATCAATCATACGGCAAATGACTGAGAAGAGAGATGAGATTCTACTTGGACTTTCTGGGGGATACAGACCCAATATATGGAATGATCTACAGCCATTTGAGTGCCAGATGTATTTCCACTTTGCAAAATAATCACATTCTTCTGACTTGAGGGAAATCTCAGTCTCCTTCACTTGAGAGCAATAAAATTGATTAGCATAAATAGTGTCTTATATTCCCCACATGATGAAAGCAAATTTTGGCAGACAAATAAAACATTCATTTAGTACTTTCAATTACTAATGAAAGAACTAAAATCAGTCTTTGTGTCTATGAAGTCAAAACATATAGAAGATGAAGTCACTCTCCACAGAGTTTGCAGAAAGAAAAATGTCATTAAACCACTGCACTTTTTACATTCAGTTTGTAGTCATAGATAGTTATGAGAAATACATGCTTAGTCTTAATGACTCAAATGCAACAATGAGAACATCTGGACAGCAGTTTCACTACACAGATTCATCGTGTCATCTTTCACTTGAAGTGCATACAGCCTTCTGCCATGGAGCAAAAGGTGTCTGTAACCTAAAACCTGACAGGTTTTTCTGTGTCAAAGCAGGCATACATTTTATAGTCAGATTGCCAGTGGTCTTTATTAGCTACGTTCCTAACAGCACTGGCCTCACTCTTGCTGTTCAGAGCCTTTTCCATAGTTTTAACACCCTTGGTTTTAGATAGTAACTTCTTATGTGGGCCCTACTATTGCTAACTCTGGTAAATAGATTATTCTTCTCTGCAGATCTCAACTGCATCCTAATTTAAAATGAGAAGGTACATCTTCTACTCAACCACTCTGAATAGAAGAATATACATCACTTATGGACTAAAATTCTCAAAACAGACTGGTGAGACCTGTTTACCTATCCTAAAAGACCAACGTTTCTACAGGGAAAAAAAATATTAATTTAATAAAACTTATGCAGAACTGGGAGGGAAAAGGCAGAATCACCAATAAATATTTTTTTTCTTCAAATAAGAAATTAAATGCAAAAAAACCCTCAATAGACTAACTTCTAGTACAGCTACCTCAGTCAAGTAAATAGTTATAATTCAAGGTTACACAAATTAAGTTTTACTTCCTTTCTTAAGCTGCAAAACAATATATACAAAAGCCAGTGATTTTTGGTTCTACTCCTTTTAGAAACAGGTGGAAGAAGCTAACCTGGAGCAGGCGAGGGTGCTGGTGCCCTGGGCATCTGAGCTAACAACTTCTCCTGCTGTGCTTTCTGAGCGAGTTCTGCATCCCATTCTTCAAGTTCTTTTTCAAAACGTTTATTGTCTTCCTTGACATAATCCCTTAGATCAGAAGGCAGCGTGTCCATTCCAACAAGGATCTGTCCCGTTTCTTTGTTAAACTCCTCTGTAGTAACATGAAATATAAATTTCAGAAAAAAAAAGAAAGAATAGAGAAAAAAAAAAAATTACGTTAAACAAATTTCCCCAAATGAATTACTGGAAACATACAGTACAGCACCAAAACCCCAAAACCATATTCCTGGTATTACAATCTGTTAGGCACTTCTCTGCTACTGAGACCTATGGCTACTGCTCTTGTGATCTTTGGATTACACATTCTTGGGCACCATCAGATCATTGCCATTTTGAAAGATGAGCCTGTTGGGCCATAAGCACCCTATGATTGTGGACATTCAGAAGAAAAGTCACAATAAACCCCACCATAGCTTGATTGCATTACTGCCACACAGAGCGGGACACAACTCGAGTTCCCAGCAGAAAAGGGGAACAGAGTGGTCCTAGAAGGATTTGGAAAGTCAACTGATAAGAACACCAGCTACACTGAGTAACTTCCCTTTTTGCTGCAAGAACTGTCTCTGCAAGAGCATCCCAGACCCTAGGAGATCAGTCAGCTGTAACTGTCCCCCAGTGAGCAGGTCTCAGAGGGGCACAGCCACCCTACAGGGCCCATAAACCCTATGGCTGCAAGTCCACTTGCATCCACTTGCATCCTAGTCCATCTGGCCATCTAGAAACGTCAAGGTGCACACCGGTTCTCAGTTAGAAACTGAACACGTGCACTCTAGCTTTCTGCCCTACGAAAAGTCAGCAACATGAAAATTTTCCACTACCTGTTACTGAATCTCTGGCCATTTTCACAGTCAGCTCCCTAGTAGCCATTATCAGGCCCCACAAAACTCATGCTAAGGGATCCTTGCCCCCTCTCCACACATTTCTGTACAAGCCTTATAGTTACATACTACTACATGACCTGAAAAAGAAATTTTCCCAATCCCTGTATTACTTTGGTTTAATGTGTGGTTGGTAGGGCTAAATTAATCACGTTCCAATATACTGCATAAAGGTTCAAGTTTCCATGTTCCAGTAGAGTTTATCAGAGTTCTGAAGCTTATGAAAAAGCCACATGAGAATTTTCATGTCAAGAGGCTCACTTCTGTATTTCCATGTTTCTGTTCTAACCTTCAGTGACATAACTTCCAAAATTTTGAACATGTGATCACCTGGCTAAAACGTTTACAAATTTAGTTTATTTTGCTCTCTTAATAATGCTGAAACACTGGTATTATCTTTATTAATCTAAAAGTTGAATAGTAATCGTTCTACCCACTAAAACAATCTGACTAACAGTTATGAGCATAAATAGAACTTTCAATAATTATTAAAACCATTTCAAAAGTCTGGAAATCCATCTGAAAAAAAGCTCACTTATTAATATATTCAGCTATTCTATACCATGCAGAAAACATACGTATAACATTACCTTGTATCAAGTATTGTTCCTTATCATTGATATACATTAAACAATATGCACTGGCATTCCGGTAACCACCAAAAGAGTCTCGTTCCAACTCTTCCCAAGTTGACTTTGTCACAGAAATATCATTGTATTTCATCCATCTGCTCTGGTGGTGGTCATAAATATACGCCCAGTAATGTCCTGCATTAGCTTGACCTTCATGAACTAACACAGCATGCAACCTGTAAGGAACCTTAAAAACAAACAAAAAACCACAAAGCGTCAAACTCTCCCTGCCAGCATTTAGCTCCTACCACCTGCCAGCAACAGTAGCTACATTAAATAAAAGTAACAAAAATAAACAGGAAAACACAACACAGAGGAAAAACAAAAAAGATAAAACTAGCTACCCACTAAGCAAAAGGACTTTGAACAACTTTACTTACCACTATTAATTACAAGAGATCTTAAAAACATTAGAGAGTCTATAGCATAAGTGTCTACGCTGCTGTCTTTACTGCCAGACATTCTCTTTTCTTAATTCCTTAATATTCCTACTTTCCTTGTATCTACAAAAAAAAACCTCACATACGTCAGCCTTGAGTGTCTATGATTTGCTTCAGTTCTGGTAAACCTGGTAAACTTGTCTGAAGCCTGGACAGGTATATGCAAACTCTGTGCTTTCTGTGTGCCATTATTTAAAGGAGTACCTGGGAGTTGAATACTTCCATTACCTAAACGTAAAATTCTTACAGTAGAATAGGAATACAACTGTTTTCCAGTATTTTAAACATAACAGCAAAAGCATTGCTGAGAGAAGCAGGGAATACATGAAGAGGTCCTCTCCTCCTCCTGAGGCAGAGGAGGAAGTTTCTAGGATCAATATAAAAAGTATCCCAGGTTACATGTGTTCAGGGACAAGTAAGAAGAATGGGAAACTTAGTTTCTATATAAGTAGTTGCAAATCTGAAGGAGAAAGAGAGAAGCAGAAGAAATGAGTGCTTTCTTACTTGCAAGTCTTTTAAAAGCATCGTAGTGGTCAGCTCATTTTAACCTGCTGAAACAGCACATGCAGCATAAAAGGGAAAAGTGCTCTTCCCTGCAAGGCATAGTACACCTGAATGACAACAGCTCAGCTGGGATGAAAAACTTGAAACCATCTTTTACTGGTGTCACAGTTTGGACTGCAGGTAAATGGTCCATTTAACACAAGATGCACTAAACATTTGTTGCAAATATCATTTGAGCATCACAATAATCAGTAACCATAAATAAATATGTAACTATGACTTGAGAAACAACTCGAAGTTATTTTTAACCTGATCATTCTCTTCCAGGCTATATGCAAGTGCTGGAGATTTTGCAGTCCTCCTTGAACTGTAAAGCTGTCTGACTGCACAGCAGCTGGAATCAGAGTCTGTCATCCCAGAGATCAAACCACACTGTAAATCTCCCAAACACAGGAAGTACACACAGAAGAAATCCTAGCAAGTCCTTAAAACATGAATGCTCTGGTTTTTTTAGCATCTGTTATCAAACCAGTGTGAAAGCCTTCTTAAAATGACTGCAAGCCCATGCATATGCACATAAATATATGCAGATCCCGATTAAAAAAAAAAAAAAAGTGAAGTCTCTTCAGACTTTGACAAGAAAATTTCCTCACCCTAAAATAAGGCATTAAAACCCCAGGTGAATTTAAATCATTTTACTTAAAACCATGCTAACTGGGTCAGCTTGAGCGCCCCTATTTCCTCCAGCTCTGGAGATCCAGCTGTCAGCCATCCATGCTGAGCTTCCAGGAAGGTTCCCCACAGAGGTCTGTGACTGGGGGACAGCGAGTGTAGTTGCCAGCAGGTGTCTCTTGCAATAAGACATTGCATAGAAAGTGCTTAACAGTACAGGGCAACACAACAAGTCAATAGTCGTCATTAAACTCCTTAGCTTACACTTACTACTCATGAAACAGAAATGGAGCTTCACCAGCCTCATCGCATGTAGCTACAGAACAAATACATCAAAGATGAATTACCACAGGAAAAACAGGTGTGCCTCACTTCCCCACAGCAAGTTCACAGAAAGAGGGAAATAATCAAATAAACAGCTGATGAAATCTATTCATGCAGGAGGATGAAGTAAAGAAAGAATTTTGGGAATATATTTCATGTTACAGTTTGACAATGGTTTTATGGACAAATGCAGTTTCCTTAGAACCAAAGGCGACACAAGGAGAAGATGAAAGATGAAGAGCTTCTTAAATAGTTCATACAAACACTAAGAAGTATCCTGCAAATATACCTTCCTTCAAAAGACTAGTTTTATGTGCCCAGATCTCATCAACTTACAAGAAAAGTTTTCAGTCCTGCAACTGTATCATTCACAGGAAAACATTAATACTGTGAAACTGCTCCCAGAGACTGGGGCAATACTAAGCCAGCAAATTGCCCAGATGCAGAGGTAGGCAGAGGAAAGTAGACAGATACATGCACATGCCTCCTTCCTGTTGTGCCAAAACACCCACAGGGACAAAGCCAGCTACGCTGCAGAAGGGCAGCCTTCGCTTCCAGCCTGTGATTTCAGATGGGTTCAGTACCTACTTGTTCCCTAACAATCACCTAACACAAATCAGGCATGGCACAGAAACCCCCTCTACAAATCCATATACCATCTTCATTCTCTTCTGCTTCTGGAATTCTGTTTCAAAGAATAAATAACTAATTAAAGAAAAAAAAACCACCAAAAAACAAGAAACCTAGTCTACATTATACAAATCTGCACTGGGATAAAGTGTTTTACTAAGTAATCTCCTTTTTCCATTGTAATGATTGCTGTCCAATATCTTCACTATCCAGAGGTATTTCCTCCTGTAACACCTAAGCCAACACAGGTAGGCTATTTGGATGCGAGATTATCAAATTACTTCATTTTACTGTTAGATGACATGTAGCCTTTGGCCTTCCTGTTCTAACACAAGTATTAAGGAATAAAATGCCTGCCAGTAGCAAGCTTAAAGAAATCCATCCAGGCAAGACTGCCTGAAATCCTTAACATCAGAGTTCAGCTGCCAGGAACTATTACAAGCCATGTACAAAATGAAAATGTACCTCAAGGAAAATTATAAGCCGAACAGATTTTACTTAGAAGGAAAATAGTTCTTTTTACTAACAGAAAGTAACAGAGGAAGTAATCCTTAACCTTAAAACCTGTCAAAGTGAGCGATCATGAGTATGTGAACGTAAGAAATACCAGAAGAGCCACGACTCCTTAGTAAAGCATTCTGAAAATGCTGTTCCGATTACACAGCATGAGAATCTCCCTAAAAGGCAGTTTAGACTAATAGTCAAGGTTGCGACTGATACTAAATCTAGATAGAGTTTTTTTAAAATCCAACAAAAAACAAAACAACAACCACCACCACCTCCACTGGCATTATTAACTACAAATTAAAATCAGAAGCCTTGGATTCCCAAGAAGTAGTATGGAAGTTGTGATGCACAATGGCAATAAGCACTGAAGTATAAAAACAATAATTCCTTGTGTATAATGCTTTTTGCCACCTTAAAGGCATAAGATTACCTAGCAATATGGTCAAATCGGGCTGAGAAAATTTTATTGTGCTATATAAAAACTGAAGTTCCGCATTCAAGTCAAAAAGCAGATCAGAGATAGAACACGTTTGGGCTTTTCATCACAAAGTTGCTTAAACTTACAAGTATGTCACCTGTAAAATATTCTAATGCTGTCTTTCATCTGACTGTGCATAATTAAAAGGTTTGCAAAACCCATTATGACTTTCCAATGAAATTTCTCAAACCACTATATATAACTGTTGTATAATTGCTCTATTTTCAAGCATGTAAGAACTTGAATAAAAGTGACAAAAAGGTTCTATTTTGAATTATCTCATGCAGAAATTGTACTTACTTGGACCATTGTTTTGTCAGAGTACATCAATTCAATTGTCCGATGTATTCTAGATATACTTTCTTGTAAATCTAAAAGAAAAATGAAAAAAAAAAGCTCTCTTCCATGAGGCTACATAATTGCACATGGCTACATCTTTATTTTATCTCATTAAAAGCCAAACAGGGTTAATTTCACATTTGGTGCATCTGTGTATCTATCTACACGCCAAACATGAAACTGCATGATCAACCAGTGTTGTATCACGAATCACACTCTCTGCTTGTTTCCTAGAGCTCAACGAACCCCACCTCTGCTGGAACAACTACTTCCCTCGTTTCTCTCAGAGCAACAGAACAGACTATAAGCTCTACCCACTCCAAAAAGCCTTTGCTCAGAAATTTCCTGAATTTTCCCTTATGGAAGGGGTCACTCTACCCTAAATTCCCCTGCAGAGCACCAAGTCACAGCATAGGCCCAGCCACCATCACGCTGACAGCTCAGACACACCTGCAGAGACGTTCTTTGGCATGGATCTCACCTCCGTTTCACTCTACTCCCCTCAACACCACAGAGAAACTTGCGTTGAAACACTCATGTATGCTTCACTCAACACCCAGTTTACTTCTTCAGTTTATACACCTCCAGCCTACTACAACCTCTGACTGACTTCCCTTCCTATGGGCTAGAGATAAGTTTAGAAGTACGAAGCAAGCAACTCAACACACTCACGGACATTAAGACCATTTTCCCAACTTGCACAAACCCCAACGGCAAACGTGTTCTCCAGCTTGTGGCATTACCTCTAGTGTCGTTCTCTACTTCAGTCCTCCAGCGATGTAAACAGCCTTCTAGGACAGACAGCTCCTCCTCCGTGATGTGCCTCGGTGCCGGATGCATTGGCAGATCGGGAGGAATTCGTGATTGTGTGAATGGTTTATGTATTACTGATCTTTGTACAGGAGATGTGCTTGGTACATCTGAAGATGAAGGCCCCTGCTGCTCTATTGTGCTGTGTTCATTCAAAACATAAAATACAGAAATTGAATCATCATGTATACAGACAAAAAGCTACACAATAAAAATAAGCTTTTCATCTGAAAACAGAAGTTTTAAAGGTAATAATTTCCTACAGCATAATCCAGGAAAGGTACCTACAATATCAACATGGAATCAGTACGTAAATTCTGAAAACTTTGTGGTGTACTACATTTAGCACAACAACAACTCTGACTGCCATTACCAAAGATAAAGGAATCAGAACTAGATTGGTCAAGCCACCGTTCGCTTCACCTGAAATGCTATTTAGCAATTCCAAATAACATCACACAAGGGATCACTATGAGTTGAAACATTCAC